GGAAGGAGTAAATGTTTTTAATGACATGGGGCTTAGTTGATTACGGCTCTCCACAAATTCCTTAAATTCCAGGCAGTGGTTTCCTGGGAGTTTTTCGCCATGCTTTGAAATTCATTTTCTCTCTTTTTGGCTGTTGCCACTGAAGGTTAGAGAATGTAGATTATTCTGCTGTTGAACTTGTAGCTGGTGGGAGAGAAAAGATGAATTCATGCCTTTCCAAAGGGCATTTGTGCGGAAATAAACGCAATAGATGAGGCGAAATTTGAGCTCGGCTCGACAATTTTCTGTCTGCAACAATATATGTTGCATTACTTGCCCATCCATGTGTACATTACACTGCGATAATCGAACTTACTCCCGGATACAAGACGAGATTTTTAATTTTAATGCTTACTTTATTATTTACAAAGTACTGTTGACACTAGAGCATAAATTAGGAGCACTTAAAATGGTATACGATATAGCCCTTCTAAGTACAGCTCTGTGTCTATTATTTTAAGTATAGCTGAATTATCGAAGTCAACAAGTCCGCATCCTGACAGGTAATTATACGATATTTTATCTTACGTTTGCCAGGTGACAAGTATATAGTCGTGAGTGAGGCCATTTCTCAGCGACGAAAAAAAAGTACAAAACAGTTCTTATTTTATAATCATTTCACCCAAACAAGGCCATAAAACCAGTAAGAAGCAAGACGTTATTGATAGTGAAAGAAAATGGGAAAACGTTAGTGAGGAGAAAGGATAATAAAAAAAATATTTTACAGGATTTTAAAAGATAGAAGATGGCGTTTAACATTACATAAAAAGTTTTGAAGATCGGTGTTGATAGAAAAGCAAGAAACCAGAAGAGGTTTCCATACGTGATGAGTGCATGAGAAGAAATTATTAGCATACAAATTAATCAAGATTACATCAAGCTTTTTCAACAGTAAAATCATGAGACGAGACCTAACTTCCAACCAAGTACTACGCTTAAGGTATGAAGTCGTGATACCAAAACAAGTAAGTTACTCTGAAAATTTACTCTGAATATATTTATAGAAAAGTCCACAGGGATATCAGGTTGAAATACTGATTCCGTATTAGCAACGTCGAGCCTGGTCAGTACCGAGATGGTTGACCGCTTGTGAATACCAGGTGTTGTAAGCATGGATGTGCGGTTGGTGTAATGGATGAGGATTCTGAATTTTTAATCGGAGAGCCGAGTTCCAAATCCAGTTGGGTTCGTTATATTCACTCACGCGCAAAAATCCTTGGGAAAGGTATGATTTAATTTCTTCTCCAACCAGCTATAGGTTCATTAGTAAGATTTGTATTACTAAATCATTATTATCTAAAATTATTACAATCTAAAAGTATTTCTTTTAAATAACCTGCTAAGGGGTGATAAGCCGTAGAAAGAAAAAAAAATTCAAAGGGAATCAACGTTACTGAGGTGGGAAAGTAACTGAAGCCGGGATAATAGGTGAGACCGATCACATTGCAGATTCATGCGGGTGAACAAGGCAGAGATCCAAAACGAAACTGTTCTCTTACTATAATCTGAGAGACCATTTCTACCTTCCGCCAGCATGGCTGATGCTAACCTCCAATAGGGTGACTCATTGTACCTTCTTAGGCTAACATTTTTCACTGACATGAAGTGAAAAGTCTATACTGAATCAATTGCTAGGACTGCAGCTACGAATATTGGTTAACTAGGCATATTTTTTCTCTCCAGAATCTATCTTACAAATTTAAAATCTACCATTAATCCATACATTGAATATTGCTGCTACATCAGTTCTAGTTCTCCTGCATAACACTTAGTGATTCTTGAAAAAATTCAAAGAAGAATTTGCAATGTTATCAGTCACTTCTCACCGCCGTAAATTAGATTTGTGTCTTTTCTATAAATCCTTTCATAGTAATTGTTCTGGTGAACTTTGCTCTATTGTACCTAGACTTTATAAATTTAAGCGCAGTACGAGATTAGTGGCAAAGTCTCATCATTTTACACTTGACATGTTCTGATGTAAACGTAAGTTCTATGCTAACAGTCTCTTCTATCGTACCTCTCTCTTGTGGAACTCTCTTCCGGGTTCTCGCTCCCCTGTTAAGCTTGATCTTCAAAAATTTATATACGTCATTCTTTATCTTCTGTTTTCTTAATTCTTGTTCTTTTATTATTTCGTCTCCCTAATAGTATTTCCTCTTATTTTTTTCTCCGTACTGTCTAACACCCAATAATTCCTTGCGTCTTAGTGGCTTTATTGCTTTGCTGGAGGTAAAATAAAATAAAAAAGGCGGGTGTGAAGAGTTGACTTAGATTTGTGGAAATATCGGGTATCAACCAGAGAATTCAAACGTTATCTTCCTCTACCCAGACCATAAGACATCACCTGCTAAACAATACGAATATTTCATACTAGCATGGAAGCCACCCTACTTGGGTACTAAATAAGGCTCGCTCATGCGAAGGGATTTCGGGCCTTTGGCCTTTTGCCTTCAGTGTCCTATGTACGTAAAAGTTATAAGAATTTAGAAATAATAAAATTATTTTATCTTTATTTGACACCTTAATTCAGCATAATTTTCTTCGTATACACAACCGATCTCTGTAGTTTGTTTATACTTATTTTGTGAGCAATTTTTATTTTCTTTTAAATCATAATTTTTTTGAAAACATAAAGTCACTCATGAAAGACATTCGGGAACACGAAATAAGTAATACAGTGTAACCCGGATATAAGAGACCCGGATATAAGAGAAACCCGGATATAAGAGACCCGGATATAAGAGAAACCCGGATATAAGAGAGATTTTTTCTCTGGTCCCAAATTAGAGCCTGTGTTAATGTATATAAAATAGACCAAACCCGGATATAAGAGAAACCCCGATATAAGAGACTTCTTCTCCGGTCCCGACAACTCTCTTACATCCGGGTTACGCTGTATTTCGAATACGTCACAGTACGTGTACTAGAAAAAAAAACTTATGAGCAACGTACCATACCCCTTTTAATTACGATATGAAATGCAATTGCTACGAAAATTGGAATTTAAATCATTCACCCTGTTCGATATTTTAATTTAACTTTAAATGTGTTATTTAATTTTTAAACTCGTGTAACTACAATAGTTACAGCCTGTTAGTCCAGGTTGTTTATGATTTCCCGAGATCGAAATACGGGCGGACACACGAACACTGCGCTTAATATATGCAAATTAGGGTATTGTCTTCTTTGAGTTTGTCACATATGAATTATTTTTATGCGCAATAAAAATGACTATAAATTTGATACAGCAGTTTCCTAACTTCTTTTTTTTTTCTACCTATATGGCATCGTATTTTCTTCTTTCATATGAAACTTTATAACATTTATACTACACCTTTTCTTCTGTTCCAATTTTTCTGTATTGAATATTTTATGTGTGTCGATTTAATGATGATTAACGAGGTAAAATCTTGGTCAGATCAGGTTTTATAAAGTCTTGGTTTTTTGTTTATTTTAAATAACTGGGATTCAGATTTACAGGCCGATAAATGGCAAACAAAACCACTCACTTATAACATACAATCTTATCTATTTAACATCTGTCTATATTTCTGAAATGAGACATTCTAACTATTTACACTATTTACGTTATTCAGCCTGTTGTCCTCATCTTGTCATATTCACGATGTTTTGGCCGTTGAGCTCTCCAGCCTTCTTCAGTGAATTTCGAACCTAAATAAAAGGTTCGGTTCGAAATTACAAAAACCTAAAGAAGACCGAAGCATACAACGGCCGAAACGTCGTGGAAACAGCAATAACGATGAGGACAACAGTCTGAACAATGTAAATACTGTAAGTACCTATTTCTTTTTTTACGTGTGAATATGATTTGTTGAAACAATAAAACGGGTGGATCTATGTTAGCTTAATTAATATATTTCTTTGTAACTACGTTTTTAGTCTAATTGATCTAATTACACATAAACTTAAAAAGTGTAGACAAGTAACCACGCTACCGCAGCTTCAAATCATTGATGTTTACGGCAAAGGAGGAGGTAAGGTTGAAAATGTTTATCTTTAGAGTACATCTCCTCCTATATTACAGTGAATGCTAAACAATCTTTTATCTGTGATCCCCACTAAAAGATATCTTCCAAAAGCTAAGCAAATTATTGCTAAATAGAAAAAATCATTAAAAACAGAAGAAAATAGTACGGAAATGCTATGTAATATCAGTCCTTCTATATGGCTGTGAATACTGAACAATCTTCTCACAGATGAAGAAAAGACTTGAAACAACAGAAGCATGCTGAAAAGACCATGAAGCAAACATGTGAGCAACGACGAAGTTTTAGAGAAAATGGAAGATGAAAAGACACTTATAGGATCAGGAAGAGACAGTTGAAATTTCTGGGGCACATAATGAGGAAATAATTCTTGGAATATCGGATACTTACAGGACAGACCGAAGGCAAGAGGGACAGAGGAAAACAACGCATGAGCTGCCTAATAAGCTTGAGTAATTGGATTTTAGGATGGAGAGAAAAGATAACATTTATTAAGAGCTACAAAGGACAGCTAGTTTTGGAGAGTCACGATTTCCAGCATCCTCAAGGAACACGACACATAGAAGAAAATGAAAAATGGAAGTTTGATGAGAAGAACAAAAAAGATCATATCCTCTCAATTATTATATTTCTCGACCACATAATACCAAAGTTTTGTTGAAAATTCTATTTCGGAAATCAACCTGGCTCGATGATTGGTTGCAAGCAGCCCTTTTGATTTTTGATTGATTCATTCCTTTTCTATGGCTTATTAATACTTTGAAGGTTATTTAAAGTCAGAAAACATTTTTAGATTGTAATTAGTGATATAAATCTTACTAATTAACGCATGACTTAGGGGAGAATATAGCTTTCCCAACGGTACGTGCATGTAAGTGAATGTACAATTGTCGGAACTCGGCTCTCCGATTAACAATTCCGAGCATTACCCATTACATTATCCTCACATTAAAGCTTACAGTACCTAGTATTGTCAAGCGGTCATCCATTTAGGTACTGACCAGGCTCGACATTGCTTAACTTCGGCGTTCGTACGCGAGGCGGTGTTTAAACGTGATGTAACAGTAAACCATAATTTTTTATATAATTGGTATTGACCAAATTCTTTGCCTGTGTAACCCATTTATGAATATCTATCCGAGCACTCATATTTTATTATGTCAGAGGCAAATATTAGCAATATGGCAGTCGATGTTGAACTTTCCTAAGAAGGGAGTATTGCTGCCATATCTGAAGTGGTGCTGACCAGTCCTCACTCTCAAGCCTTGACAGAGTTTTAAAGCGATTACGCGGTCGATGAGGAATTATCTTCCGACTTACAACCCCATTTTCACGGATGAAACGTTGCCAGTCTTTTGCTAATCGGTCGCTATAACTATGGCAAATATTCAAACCAGCTACATTCTTTAGTTGCACCAATTCAAACCTTCACAGCTAGAATCCGTCAAGCCACGTACACATTCAAATCATCCACACTCCATTCGTATTCATATGGTAAGAAGGAAGATAGATAGATTATCCCCCAAAACTGTCACTTTCTGAAATAGACTCCCTTGAGTATGCTTTCTCGACCACTAAATGCTTAATCTCTTCAAGTTCAGGGTCAAACGATATCTATCCTACATATCCTCACGATATACATCCCTTCCTCCTTAACGTATACCTTTACAAATTTCTAATTCAGTGAAACTCTACCTTAAGTGTCTCTTAAGCCTTTTATTGAGGGAACAATAGAAAGAGAAAATATCTTATTCTTTTTTGCTTTGTTGCAGTTTAGCAGCTGAATGAAAATTTCGTAAAATGGTGTGTATGATGAAAACCCTTGTGATTGAATTTCTCAGTGCGGAAATATTGACTACACTGACATAGATGAAGTTTTGGGGTAACCCCACACTGGATGTCAGAACAATAAGGTATTCAATAATGAGTTTCAGTAGTGAAGACGGCGATGTCTTTGAAAGGATTCGTTTTGAGTTTTGTTAAATGCCGCAAAAAATGCCTAACATATGGTTGTGACTATGTGAAGGAAAATTGTCGTCCATAACCTTTCCCGTACACAACGTTTGTAATTATTACGGGAGGTTACTAATATTGGACTCGACCGGCAAACACGCAACGCCTGCACTGGACCTTTGACATGTCCGAACAACGCCAGCTCTTCTTTCCTTCCCAAACACGTCAAGTTGGCATCCCGGCCACGACCAACATCAACTACAATGACCAGCAGCGATCATCTGCAACGACCGACATCAACTACAGCGACCACTTGCATGACCAGCAGGGATCACCTTTAACGACACCAGCAACGACCAACAGCGATCATCTGCAACGACCAGCAGCGACCACCTATATGACCAGCAGCGATCACCTGTACCAATCAACCTCGACCATCAATGGCTGCACTAGAACTTCTGCATCTCTACCGTTCCGACCACCTTTATTTCTTTTCTAGAATTAGCATATATCATATATATCCTCGTTCTGTCGTCCATGTTGTTTCACCTTGTCATATTTAACGTCTTCGAAAATGTTAGCGGGCCTCTCGTGACCTCATCACCCTTTTGTGATACGGGAGCTCTCGGGGGGAGGGGGTCCGCTACACGCCTATCGCATGATTCACATTCATTCCACGTATTTTGAACAGGTATAGATGTTTATCCTTTGTCTCTTGATTAGGATTGAGTCTCTGGTTCCTTCTTTGAAATTCTTCTCATTCTTTTTCATATCCAGTAATTACTTGGGTCTTAGTGGTATTATCACTTTGCTTAGTGGCATTATCACTTTCATAAAAAAAAAATTAAGAACACTGGCCAAAAATATGAAAGCAACCAAACCATTAAAATAAACCATCAGAAAAGGAATCTTACAAATTGGTTGAAACTTTACATTAAACTTGATTTCTGAACATCACTTTTTAATAATGAATGTATAGCTACATTGGATGGATGCAGTTTTTGGGTTTCTCAACTAATAAAACTTAGAAAATAACGAGGAAGATACAGTAAACTTTTGGACTAGTATTGTAGGCATTTAAATTTTAGGCCCCTACAAATTTGATGATTGGGCGAAGATAAATGCAGAGGGTTATCGCAAATTCTTGAACAAAGCTTTTTGGGCTGTTTTTAATTAATTAATAATTACTTAATTAATTTTGTTGAATGATGCATTTGAAAATCAAGGAGCTTTAAATTTAAGAGTATATTTTGCAGTACAGCTGTTTAATGTTTGTAATGAGTGAAATACAGTGATTAATACCTACTCAGATATAAGTGCGTGTGCATGCATGTGCATATGTATATATAATATTACTATTATTACTATCATATATATATATATATATATATATATATATATATATATATATATATATATAAAAGTTAACGACATATTTTTTATATAGAGAACAATATTGAGGACATATGTATGACAAAGTGGGAAAAAGTTTTGTGAAACGTTTCGAATTTTAGTATTTTAACAGACTACACATGCACACGATGATGGGAATTTTAAAATTATTTTTCATTTTTTTTTTTTAATGTAGACGATTTTATTTAGATTTTTTTATGAATCCCACTCTGTGATAATAGATGTTCTACCCGAAATGGTGAAATTTTGAAAGAGTTCTGGCGCAGATTCACTGTGGACGACCTTGAGATCAAAGCACTCTCAAACATTTTCGTCATTGTGAATTGTTTTCTCTTTGATCACAATTCACAATGACGAAAATATTTGAGAGTGCACCCAAACGGATTATGCACCCAACGTGTTCTTTTCTATTTTCTGCATACCTGCGCACATAATCCGGAGTTCCTTAGTATTTTTTTTTATTTTTAAGACAGTGCTCCATACATAAGTAGAGCTTTATCATAATATGTTTTTGTTTAAAATATGATTCCTTCGTTACATAAGAGTTCTCATGTTTCAAAACGAGAATTGAATATCCAAATAATTATTAAAATTAAGTTGAATTGAGGTGTTTAGTCTCGTTTCATCTTCAAGCGAAATTTTAGGAATTTTTAGGTTCCTAAAATTTCGCTTGAAGATGAAACTTCAATTTCAACTTAATTTTAATAATTATTTGGATGGTTTCGGCTCGTTTTTTGAAACATGAGAACTTTATGTAGCGAAGGAATCGTATTTTTAAACAAAAATTATATATATATATATATATATATATATATATATATATTCGTTTGAGCCATGAATTAGTTCTGTTTTTATTTATCAAATTTATTACTAAAAAAATAAAGTCCAATTAATATTTATTCAATTATATAGTCACCATTATACTTGCTGCCACACATCAGGTAGCAGTTTGATACCATTTGAGTAAAATACAGGAAGTTTGGTGTGAAAAAGTTAACACGAACTCTTGTATCTATTATACATTAAGGAAAATTTCCCCATCAAAAAGATTTTGCATTTATCAAAATGTTAATAATCTGTTTGGCGCAAGGTCAGATGAAATTGGTAGCTGGAGTAGACAAGAGCAACCGTGTTCTATTTTTTCTTGTTTTAGTCTTGCTGCATTCGGACTTGCGTTGTCATTAAGGAAAAAAATTCCTAATCACGAATGCAACGTGTATTTTGACCAAACTGCTGGGTGTATGAATGTGCATAGAGCGTTTCACTGCGCTTTAAGAAATCTAAATAAATAATACTCTGGCAATCTTACCACACGTACAATATTAGATTTTTTTAATGGAACTCAGGCTTTGAGATCGGTTGTGCAAATTTATGCTTGTAAAATCACTGCCATTTGAGTTTAATATTGATGTACATATCTCATTATTCATCACCTATTAGGATATATTTAAGGAATGATCAATTAGGATATTACATTGTTTATTAAAATGTGTTTTTCGAAAAGGAAATTAATTTTACTCAACCTAATATATTCAGGAACGAAATATGAAGCTAGAAAACAAAGAGTTGTCTATACTGGTTTGGTTTGTTTATCAGCAGATAAACTACTTATGGTTCATTTAATTCCGAAATTTAATTTTTTGGGAATCTTTGGAAAAATTTTTTCAAAAATTTAGTCCTTCTAATTTGTCTCTTCTTTTTTGAAATCTCTTATTATGAAAATATATTGCTAGCATTTTTACTATGAAATATATTTGAATACTTTCATAAAGTTTTGATCCTAGTTTTGGTATTTCACTATTTCCTCATTAATGGGACATTAATTAGTGCACCTTGGGAAAACAGCAATTAAGAAGTGGTCCCACGCTCTTCAAAATCTCTCAATCAGAGGCCTTGCTGCCGGATTTAGTTTATCGTCAGGACAAGCTGTTTAGAAAAAAAAGGCTTGTATGATATTATAATAATAAAAATATCTAGATTCTTGCTTTCGAGTCGAGTTTGATTCTTACACGCGTGCAGACAAAAGAATGAAAATCTCTTTATACCATCATTCGCCATAGTTCTTTTTAAAAGTCAATGAATGACGAATCACATCTGAAATATCTCCACGTAATTCTTTATTTCATTTTACATCAATGGTAAACACATCACGGACTAGTGATCATTTTTTCTGTCAACGAATAGATTACCCAGTTTTCGCCGTTAATATATGCAACAGAGTAAAAAATCGGTTAACGCCATACGACGGTCAGTGACAAATTCATTGACCCAATTGTTACCGAATAAATGTAACTTCTTATCACCTATCTGACCCCAAAACCGTCTCGATGGCAGGCAATCTATTTAGGACAGAGAATTTTGAAAAAATATCAGTTAACAATACTTATTTGGACAGAAATACCTGGAAATAATAAAGGTCACCTCTTGAATGAAACGTTTGGGTAGATTTGTTTGAATTTTTTGTTGACGCTATTAGTAAGGAGTTTGGCTTCTAAAGTAACAACTTCTACATGGGTGTCTGATTACATTTATTTACTAATCCAAGAGCCGTCTCACGCATACTTGATTGATTGATGAGAGATACAGTCATCTCATTTGGAGAAAAGGTTCTTCTGACAAAATATATACAATTTATTTATTTATTACAAAACTAAAAAATGAAAATAGATCACACACACACAAGCAT